GACAGAGCTCAAAAACTACTGTAAAAAGGGAATTCCCTGGCGGTCCAGTGGTTAGGACTCAGCGCTCTCGCTACCAAAGGCCCGGGTTCAATCCCTGGTCAGGGACCTAAGATCCCACAAACGGTGTGGCATGGCCAAAAATAAATAAATAAATAAATTGCTGTAAAAAGTAAGTTGCTGAGTAACAAGCACAGCATGACTGCATTTTTTTTAAATTGCATTTTTAAAAGCACACCCAAGCACCACTCTTTTGGGTGGGTACCTTTATAGGTATGCAAGACCATTGTCTATAAATCAGAGAGGACAGTGCAGAGAAAGACCACGCCTCATTTGTTTCACCTGGGCCAGTGCAGAGCCCGATACACCATAACTGCTTAGTAACTGTGGACGGCCACATAGGTGACCAGTGGGGCCTTGTCCTGGTGTGATGGATCCCGGTGTCTCCCCGGGGCCTCCAGGGGATTCCTCCAACACCGGCTCTCCCTCCCCTCCCATGGCACCTCCAGCTAATCCAGAACCCATAGCTCCATCTGGCTGTGGCCGCTTTTGCCTATCAACTCCCTCCCCAGACCGAGGCTCAGCCCCCATGCTGCTCTTCTGTGCTGCTGGGCACTGGGCCATGAGTGACTCAGTGGGGCTAGCTCCTCCATCCCTGGCTCCACCCTGGTAAGGTGGGGATGTTAAAGGGCACTCGTGTGTGTACTCATGTGTGCACGTGTGTGGCTGTGTGCGTGTGCTGGGGGAGCGGGCTGCTTTTTAGAAGCTGGGGTTGGAGCACAGGAAGCAAGCTGACTTGGCCTGGGCCATTAGCTAAACTTTCCTACTTAACAATAGGTCCTACTGTATAGCAGAGGGAAATATACTCAATATCCTATGATAAACCCGAATGGAAAAGAATATTTAAAAAAGAATATATATATATGTATATATATATATATATGAATCAGCTGTACGGCAGAAATGAACACAACATTGTAAATCAACTATACTTCAATTAAAAACAAACGAAGAAACCAACAACAAAAAAACCCCAGACTTTCCTGCTTGAGTCTTGGATCATCTGCTTCCAAGTGAGCGGGCGCGCTGATGGGGAGGAGGCCTGATGGATAGCTTCCCATGTCGAGAGCTGAGGAAAGAGATGAACAAGGGTCCTGGAAAAGCGCTCTACCTTGGCCAGGTGCGAGAGGCCTGCCAGCTTTCAGAGAGGATATGCCTTTAAGTCCCTGTCTTATTCAGCTTGAGCTGTTATAACAAAATACCAAAAACTGGGGGGCCTAAACAACAGACGTTTACTTCTCACAGCTGTGGAGGCTGCGAAGTCCAAGGTCAAGGTGCCAACAGACTCAGTTCTCGGTGAGGACCCTCTTCCCGTCTTGCAGATGGCCACCTTCCTGCTGTATCCTCACATGTAGAGAGAGGGAGCGCTGGTCTCTTCCTCTTATTATAAAGACACTAATCCCCTCATGGAAGACCCACCCTCATGACCTCATCTCAACTTAATTGCCTCCCAAAGGTCCCACCCACCTCCAAGTACCATTATATTGGGAGTTAGGGCTTCAACATATGAATTTCTGGGGGACACAAACATTCAGTCCATAACACCCTGCCCCTGGCCCCCCAAAATTCATGCAATGAATTCTTGCAATGCAAAATACATTCATTCCATCCCAACAGCTCCAAAAGTCTTAACTCCTTTCAGAGACTTGGGGTATGATTCATCTTAAAAGAAAACTACTCTCCAGCTGTGAACCTGTGAAACCAGGTAAGTTATGTACTTCCAAAATGCAGTGGTGGGACAAGCATGGGATAGACATTCCCACTGCAAAAAGAAGAAATCAGAAGTAAGAAGGAGTGACGGGTCCCAAGTGAGCCCAAAACCTAGCAAGGTAAATGCCGTTAGCTCTTTGGTTCGATGCTCTGCCTTTAGGACCCACTGAGACAGGGGTGCGTCCTCACCCCTGCAGCTCTGCTGGGCATTTCCATGTCCCCCGGAGACTCTGCAAGGCCTCCATCCTGCCTGTTGAAACCAAGGCAATGCCCCACCCCACCTTTTTAAACCGAGGAGACAGCTCTGATGCTGGCTGAATTGTCCTCAGAGTCATTCTTTTCTTAGCCTGAAAAAGTGTACACAGCTAAACAGCGATACAGTCAGCCCTGTAGGATCTATCAAATCTGACAGCCTTCCCTCATTCCATTCTGTCTTCACCCCCTTCAGTTACCCTGGAGTTGTTTCTGCTGGGGTGGCTGATTAGGCCCGTGGTTCACACCCAGGCTAATCTTATCACACAGTGTTTGGCCACAATCTACGTCTTCTCTTCTGAACATGCTCTCTTTTTTCGTAACACAGATAGGCTGAGAATTTTCCACACCTTTAAGCTCTAGTTCCTTTTTGCTTAAGAATTCCTCCTTCAAGTCATTTCTCTCTTCTTGCATTTTACTATAAGCAGACAGGAGGGACCAAGTTGCTCCTTCGACACTGCTTAATATCTCCTCAGCTAAATATCTAATTTCTCATCACTCCCAAGCTCTACCTTCCACAGAACACTAGAACATGAACACAGCTCAGCCAAGTTCTTTGCTACTTTCTAACAAAGATCACCTTTTCTCTATTGTCCAGTAACATGTTCCTCATTTCCATCTGAAACCTGACCAGAATGGCCCTTAGAGTCCATATTTCTAGCATGTACTTCAAAACTCCTCCGCTTCTACCCATTACTCAGTCCCAAAGCTGCTTCCACATTTCTGGGTATTTGTTACAGCAGCACTTTACTTCTCGGTACCAATTTCTGTCTTAGCTTGGGCTGCTATCACAAAATACCATAGACTGGGTGCCTTAAACAACATAGTTCTGGAAGCTGGGACATCAAGATCAAGGTGACGGCAGATTTGGAGGACTCTCGTCCTGGCTTGCAGAGAGCTGCCATCTTGCTTCGTCCTCACATGGCAGAAAGAGATAGAGAGAGGGATCTCTGGTGTCTCTTCCTCTTCTTATAAGGACACTACCCCCATCGTGGAGGCCCCACCATCATGACCTCCTCTAAACCAAACTGCCTTCCAAAGGCTCCACCTCCAAATAGCATCACATCGGGGGCTGAGGTTTCAACATGTGAATTTCAGGGGGACACAAACATTCAGTCCATAACAGTCCCATTTATAGAGAAAAGGCCTCAAATGCAGGGTGTTTGTGTGTTTGTGTTTGTGGAGCATGCTTTCACACAGACTTCAGTGTAAATGATGAATATCTGACTTTCTGGGTGGAAGCTTTGGGCAGAGGCTGAAAAGGCAGAGAATGGAGGGAGCTGGTGAGGGGGAGGAGGCCCCGTCTACATCATCAGTGCTGGCCCGGAAGCACAGGCCCCCATCAGGCAGGTGCACACCCACTCACTATCCTTGAAGGGTAGACTCTGGCTGGCACTGGACAAGCGCTGGGAATCTGTCTTCCTGGAGTTTACAGCTTTGCAGGAGTCACTATTCAATGGAGAACTGCAAAACTTTGACCCTTCCTCCTGGTTTTGCATGTGCTCCCTCTTTACCTAGGACGCGCTGTGTTCCCTCTGCCCCTTCCCCTGGCTGCTCCTGTCCATCTGTCAGTGGGTAGGTGCAGCTCCCTTTGGGAGGCTTGGCCTCATTCCCCTGAGCCTCTAGGGCTTCCAGAACTTTGGCACTTCCTGCCTCTCAGGACTCGCCACTCCAAGCCGGCACTCTTGTCTGCTCGTCTGAGGACAGGACTGTGACCCATGGTATCCCCAGTACGACTGTGGCCTGCTTCCTGGAAGCAGAGGGTGCCATGAATGAGTGAGTGAATAAATGAATTATACACTGTGGTGAATCGTTGGTCCTTGAATGCCTGGGACAGCTGTACAGATGTTGCATGAGAATGCCTGATTGGAAACACATGCTGAAGGGTTGAAAAAATGATAGAAAAGGTCACTGCAAGGCCAAACACACCCACCCACCTGATGGACTAGCTGGCTATTCCTTGCTCCACAGACAGCCAGAGGCACATGCCCCCCTCCCAGTCCTTTTGGGTTTCTGAGATCTGCAGCCTCCAAAGCTGGGCTCTAGCTAGAGAGGTGTAAAGGTCAAGCGTGCTAGATTGCCCAGGTTTAAATCCTAACTCCACCACGGCCTAGCTGGTGACGGCTGTGCACCAGTTTCCTCACTTGTGAAACAGGGATAAGAGTGGCACTTTTTTCATAGGGTTGCTCCGAGGATTCAATGAAAGAAGTGTTGTCAAGCCCCGGGGACAGTGAGCGCAAACGTGCTTAGTAAGCACCGCCCCTTACTATAGACCCTCCCACCGCCAGTGGCCCTGCACTGGTCAGTCTCCACACTTCAGATGACTAATCTGTAAAATGAGAATGGTCATAAGGATCACGATTAAATGAGAAAGCAGAACTGCATTCAAATCTGTGGTTTGGGTTCATGGTAGTCTGTGGGGCTGTGCGTTACATGCAGACTCACCAAGCCGGGGGATTCCGGGGACAGCCCATCCAAACCCTCCGCTCCGGGCAGAGCAGTGAGGACCACCGCCGGCCTGAGGGATTCTGGCCCCAACACCCAACCCAAACCTCTACAACCCCTCCTCTTCGAGACAGTCTGCTGGGGTCTCCTCTGAGAGGTGGGGAGGCCTACAGCACCAGGGACCAGCGCCGGGGACCCGGGAAGGCGCGGGAAAGAGAGGGGGAGGGTCCCCGCAGTAGGGGGCGGGGCCCGTGTGCCCTGGGGGTCGCGGATGCCTGGGCTGCAGTTTGGTTATTCCAGGAAAAAGAAATAAAAAATGCTGCAGAGGAGGCGGCCACCGGGCCGCGCCGGTTATCTTCCGGGCGCCTTCCGGCTCTGATAACGCCCGGGGCGGGGCGCGTACCCAGAGTGACCCGGGAGCCGGCCTGGGGGATCCTCGCCGGGCCGGGTCCCCGCTCCAGGCCGCGCCCAGCCCCGCGGAAAGCTGTGGCTCGCCCCGCGCCCCCCGCCCCCCGCCCGGTCCGGCCCTTGCTTACTCTGCAGACAGCAGGCAGCGGCCAAGCAGAGGGCGAAGACTCCCAGCGAGAGGCCGTGGCTCTTCCTCCTCCGGCTCGGCAGAGGCCTCATGAGCAAGCCCCGCGCGCCGCCGGCCCGGCATTGGCGTCCCGGGCGGCGCGGTGCGGCGCGGCCCCGGCTGTGCGCTCACGTGGCAGCCGCTGCAGCTCCTGGCCGCCCGCCCGCCCGCTCCTCCTCCGCCGCTGCCTCCTGCCTGTCCTGTGAGGCCAGATGCAGATGAGCTGGTGTACTCTGGTTGAACCAGTTCCCAAGAAGTGGGGAAGGAAGAGGAGACGGGCGGGAGGGAGGGAGGGAGGGAGAGAGAGAGAGAGAGAGGAAGCAGTTGGAATGCACACACTCAGAGGTAACTAATAGCAAAAAATGAGTAGTCTCCTTCCGTTCACACCCACTTGACTGGTGTTGATTCAAGATTCAGCTGGATGCTGGGTGGCAGAAGGAAGGGAAGGTATTAGCTGTTGCCTGAGGACCAAGAGGGACCATCTAATGGCTCCATGTGAAATGAGAAGGCTTTCAGGTAGGTGAAATGACAGCCTAGGGTGAGAGGGGTGAGAAGAGGACAAGGGAGCCTCAGGCTGCTCGGGGTGGAGCCACTGGACAGTGATGATAGCTATCCACCATGTACCATCCAGCCATCTAAACACCATCCATCCACCCATCCATGCATCCACCCACCCATCCAACCATCCATCTATACATCCATCCACCATCCATCCACCCATCTATCCATCTACCATCCACCATTCTTCCATCCACTATCTACCCACCCCCCATCCACACCTCCATTCATCCATGCATACAGGATGTGTTCACTGAGAGCTCCTTATCTGCACAGGGACTGGCACGTGGTAGACGGTCATAAAATATTGGTGGATTGAAGCTGGGCACTGTGCTAAAGGTTGGGGATACAACTATGAATAAGACAGAAGTCTTTAGAAACCCTAGCGAGGGGTAGGGCTGGAAAAACAAGCAATTGCTGTACAGTTCATACGTCTCTTTGATAAGGGAGGCCCAGTATGCTATGGGGACTCAGGGCAAGAGTAATTAACCCTGGGGAGGGAGAGTACAGGGTGGAGGAGAAATTAGTATTGATCCCAGCTAGTCATGAAATTCAACCCCAGTTTGTTAAAACTAGATTTTCTAGCCTTCTTTGCAGCTGGGGGTAGCAGAGTTGTCCAGTGCTGGCCAGTGATGTTAAGGGAAGTCTTCTTGGGGTGTTTCTGGGAAAGTTTTTGCTTTCTTTTATTTTAATTAATTAATTAATTAAATTATTTTTATTTTTGGCTGCATTGGGTCTTCGTTGCTGCACGCGGGCTTTCTCTAGTTGTGGCGAGCAGAGGCTACTCATTGCGGTGCACGGGCTTCTCATTGTGGTGGCTTCTCTTGTTGAGGAGCACGGGCTCTAGGCGCGCGGGCTTCAGTAGTTGTGGCACGTGGGCTCAGTAGTTGTGGCTCGCAGGCTCTAGAGCACAGGCTCAGTAGTTGTGGCGCACGGGCTTAGTTGCCCCGTGGCATGTGGGATCTTCCCAGACCAGGGCTCGAACCTCTGTCCCCTGCATTGGTAGGTGGATGCTTAACCACTGCGCCACCAGGGAAGTCCCTGCTTTCTTGATAAAAGTGACAGATAAGGCTAGGGCTGCCCCTCTCCCTTTCTTCCTGCCTTGAAGGCATCATAACGTTTAGATCTGTGACACCTATCTTGTATCCATGAAGTTACATGGATGAGGACGAAAGCCATCATGCCAAGTAGGATGATGGAGCAGAAAGATGGAAAGATAGAAGACCATGGCAGTCCGGCACATTTTCCTGTCTCCTTCTTCTGGTTCCTAAGGGGGACTCCTTGCCAATTTCATGTGTTCTTGGTGAGGTTGACATTAGTGGTACCCTGCCGACCGCCCCTGGGTGAGCTTGTGAGCCAGGCCGACCAATCAGAGTACACTTTTCACCAGCCAAAGTGTTTGGTTCAGGGATGGTTGGACAGGGCCCTCAGAGTCTTCCCTGGGAATGATATGTGGTCATTGTTGGGATTGCTAAAATGAGAGGATATGAACCTGGGAATACTGGGAATATTGGAAAGACCCTGAATTAAGCGTGAAGCCAAGATGGTACAAACTAAGCTGGGAGCTGAGAAGAGAGATAGAGCCCTCATGACATGGATTGAGCTCTGGGATTCTGCACACTAGCCTTTGCCAGTTATGAGCAAATAAATACCCTCAAAAAATTAAAAAGTTGGATTTCTCTGACATAAAATTGAGAAAGTCCTGACTCATACAAGGGGTCTTCTTGACAGTTTTCTGTTTTTTTTTTTTTTAATTCCATGTAAGGGGATTCAGGAATCACTTGCATTCATTTATTTATTCATCAAACTGTCATAACATCTGACCCCGTACCAGGCTACATGCTAGGCCCTGCAGCTCCAAAGATGAATAACTAACTCATGGCTCCCGGTACCAAGAAACTCACAAAGTAGACAGCATGATCCAGATTGAGAAAGGCCTCCAGGTATATGGGCTCTTCCTGCTGAGGCCGAGATGAGAGCAAACTGGCTGTTTTGCTCACTGCCATGTACCTGGCACCTGGCACATGAATTAGAAAAACTGTAGTCTGAGAGATGTAAGAGAGAAGGAAGAGTTTCATGAGATCAAGAGCTGATAAAGGCTAGAGTGACTCAGTGATGTGCTGAGTTCCTGTCCTGCCTCTGTCACCCACCAGCTCTCTGGCCTTGGAGAAGTAACATCAACTCTCTGGACCTCTGAGGAGGTTGAGCTGTACCAGAAATGCTCAACCCTGTCTGCACATTAGAAAAAAAGCACCGCGGCCTGGGCCTCACTCCAGTTCAACTAAATCATATTTTCTGGGGTGGGGCCCTGGCATTAGTGGTTTTTGAAAGCTCACTGGATAATTCTAATGTGTTGCCAGAATGGAAAAACACTGTTCTGGGTTAGTTAGAAGCTTCTAGTGTCATATTCAAATGATACTTTGATCTGAGTTTATGGGAGCCTTTATATAGAGTAGGATTGCATAGAGGGGAGGAGGGAGATAGCATGAGTTCATTTAAGCCCTGATTATATTTACTATTTCATTTGTTCATTCTCTCCTACCTTCCTCCCTCCTTCCCTTCCTTCCTTCTTTTCTTCCTACAACTTTTAGTTAAGTGCCTACAAGATCCCAGGCATGGCAATAGTCTGGTTGAGGCAGAGAGGGAGGAATACGGAGAAAAACTAGAAAAGCACGTTGGGACTAAGATTTGAGGGGTCTGGGCTATAAGGGTATAATTCAAGATTCATACTTAGTATGAAGTGTAGGCTTCTCCTTTGAAGTCTTTGACATAAACTATCGCCCTCAGGTATTTGGTACCTATTCTCACCAATCAACCACTTGGTTAAAAATAAAACATCCACCAGTGTTTATTTTCTCAAAACCTTAGGAGCCATTCTTCACTTCCAGAAGAAGAAAATGATGTGTGTTTATAGCGATCTAGCTTTATGACAGCCATATATATCCCCATATAATTCTCATGTTCAAGGACAGCCCTGATTTTAAATATGCTCTTCCAGTGACACCATATATCTTGGTGTTCAGTTTGGCAAAATTGATGACCACATTTAGATAACCTGTAAGTTCTTGGGCTTTTTTTTTTGTCTCTCTTGAAAATATGCTTGTAGTTTATTATGTATGTGTGTATGGTATTAGGGTGCCAGACAGGTGGTTGAAGTGGGAGGGGATTGTGTTGAATGTTACAGTATGAAAGACCTATACAAATCTTTGTTAAAATTGGTTCCTTTGAGCCAGGCTTTTATGGTGCCATACAGTGCCCTAAGTCTCTTAAGCTGAGCTGGTGTGTGTTCCCCATGTCACTCTGGGACCATATGGAGGCCAAGCCTACTAAGGGGGAGATCCAAAATTGCAATTATCTTTCTACCTTGAACTTGGCTGGTCCAAACTGCCTGTACCACGCAGCCTGGGTGTAGCCTCTGTGAGCAGGAGTTGTGGTGATGAAGCAGGCAAGCCTTATCCCCTCCTAGCCTACGGTTACCTTAAAGGTAAGTGCCAGGGTTATTCTCTTAATATCCCTTCTGCATGATAATAGTGATTCTGGGGAGAACATTGGATAAGAGCTCTGGCTCTGGAGTCTGACAGACCCAGGAAAAGCCCAGCGCTTCCACTCCTAGCTGTGTGACCTTAGGCAAGCTACTTAACATTCCTTTACAGCAGTTTTTTCTCTGAAAAGTGGGATTCTGATATTACTACTTAGTAATGCTGCTGGGAGGGTCAAATAAGACACAGGTGTGAAGTAGGATGGTTGCACAGGAACCCCTGATCCACGTCAGTTATTATCACAGCATCCAGCTCAGTGTCTTGTATAATAGGTGCTCAGCAATTGAATACATTTCCCTGGTGGATTCATGCCATTTTAGCCTTGGACGCTAAGACTACACTTCTAAAGGGCAGAGACCATTTCTTTCAGATCTTCTATGGGCTGTCTCTTCCTGCACAGGGCCCGGCATGTAGAAGGTGTTCAGTAAATATGCAGTGGGGGCAGTGTGGTGGATGGCAAAAGTCTAACCTGAATCCTGGTCTTAGCTGTTCCATTATGGAAATGATTTAATATCTCTGGGTCTCCGTTTCTTCATTGGTAAAAATGAGGAGTTAGTCACTGAATGTATGGTTTGGAGCAGATGCCAGGTGCTTGATCCCAGAATATGGTCTGCAGGAGATTTTCAGTCAAACGCAACAAAACAAAAATAAAAATTAGAAAAACAAATAACAGTTTTCCTGAATTCGCTGGCATTTGTGAGCTGGTTGGCCAGCAGGATCTGACATGACCATTAGGGACCCAGATGGGCTGGGTATCCCATGTACAAGATGGGAATTGAGCTATTCAAGTCTAATTTCAATAAAAGTCAATGAAAAAGTCGCAAAGGCAGGGCACTGTGAAGGAAATTGTAATAGGTACGATAAAAGCTTATGAGACATATTTTTTTAAATTAATTAATTAATTTTATTTATTTATTTTTGGCTGCTTTGGGTCTTCGTTGCTGTGCGCAGGCTTTCTCTAGCATGGGCTTTCTCTAGTTGTGGTGAGCGGGGGCTACTCTTTGTTGCGGTGCGCGGGCTTCTCATTGCGGTGGCTTCTCTTGTTGCGGAGCACGGGCTCTAGGCGCGCGGCCTTCAATAGTTGTGGCACGCGGGCTCCGTAGTTGTGGCTCACGGGCTCTAGTGCGCAGGCTCAGTAGTTGTGGCGCACGACCTTAGTTTCTCGGCGGCATGTGGGATCTTCCCAGATCAGGGCCTGAACCCGTGTCCCTTGCATTGGCAGGCGGATTCTTAACCACTGCGCCACCAGGAAAGCCTTATGAGACATATTTTAAAATCATGGTTTACCACTGTACTCAAAAAAAATTAAGGTTAACTATATGCCACACAGAATTTTCTGATCCCATGGACCATTACTGAAAACACTGGTTGTAGGAGTGGTCTGCTTTAGCAGGGCAGAGTATTCTGTCACTGACATTGTTTAGAATTGCCGGTGCATGGTGGTAATGAAATTTCTTAAGTGGGTCTTACTCTTATTTTTAAGTTCTTTTTAGACACTGCACCTCCTCATTGCATCAGGGACCAGATGCCCCCTGCCCTTGGCTTGCCGTGGATTGAGAATATTTGGGTGCCCTTGGACTAGATCTCTTACCGCTTGAACATCATTAAATTCTCAGCACAAATTTCATTCTGTTCGAGAGACCTAAAGTAGTCCTGCCCTACCAACCTGCACAGTCACTATTCCATGTTTTAAAATCAACTTGACTGGGGCTTAATTAATGTGCAGGAAACTGTATCCATTTAAAATGTACAGTTTGATGGCTTTTGTTATATGTATACACCCATGAAACAGCCACCACAATCAGGAAACAGAGTATTTCCTTCACTCCAGAAGTTTCCTCTGGGCAGTCAGCCCATCCTTCTCTCTGCCCTCAGCCCTAGGCAACCACTGGATTGTTTTTTGTCAATATAGATTCATTTGCATTCTCTAGAATGATATAAATAGAATCATACAGCATGTAGTATTTTGCATGTGCTTTTTTTCGCCCAGCATAATGATTTTGAGATTCATCCACGTTGTTACGTGTATCAGAATTTCATTCCCTGCTATTCCATTGTATGGATATATTACTGCCATTTGTGTATTCATTCTCCTGTTGATGAACATTTGGGTCATTTTCCGTTTTTGCCTATTGACGTCAGTCTGTTTCATTGTCTTCATTGCATTGTCACTGTCTGAAATTTTCTTCATCTGTTTGGTTGTTTTTGGCTCCCCTCTTTTCCCTAAAACAAACAGGACCTCATCTTCTAGTTCTTCACTTTCTCTGCAGTGCCTGACACATGATGGGAGCTCAGGATTGAATAATGCCAGGAATTTAATGTCGGGCTGTACTTGGAGCATTCCTGAGTTCAAATACCTCCTGCACTATTAACTTTGTGACCTTGAGCAAATTGCCTCACATCTCTGAATTTCAGTTACTTCATCTGTAAATTGAGCATTGTCATACTATCTCAAAAGTATGCTGTGACCATAAAAGTAGATTTATTATTATTTTTTCAAATAAATTTATTTATTTAATTTATTTATTTTTGGCCGCGTTGGGTCTTCCTTGCTGAGCGCGGGCTTTCTCTAGTTGTGGCGAGCGGGGGCTACTCTTCGTTGCAGTGCACGAACTTCTTATTGCGGTGGCTTCTCTTGTTGCAAAGCACGGGCTCTAGGTGGGCAGCTTCAGTAGTGGTGGCTTGCGGGCTCTAGAGTGCAGGCTCAGTAGTTGTGACGCATGGGCTTAGTTGCTCTGCGGCCTGTGGGATCTTCCCGGACCAGGGCTCGAACCCGTGTCCCCTGCATTGGCAGGCGGATTCTTAACCCCTGCACCACCAGGGAAGCCCTAAAGGTAGATTATTAAACATGGAAAGTCAGTGCTGTCCTAAGTGTCTTATGAGTTATAATTCATGTAATTCGTTAATCAGTTCATCTACCCCATGAGGAAAGTACTATTATTATAATTCTGACCGTTTCACAGATAAGAAAATGGAGGCAGGAGTTAGTAAGAGCAGAGCTTCACTTGTACCCAGCTGTTTAGCTTATGAGACTGTTCTCCCCATCGCTGTTATTCTGCTTCTCTAGGCTAGTAAACCAGATAACATGTGAATTGCCCAGCACAGTACCTGACACATAATACCTTCACAGTAAATATTCGTTTCCTTCTTCCTTAGGTATAAAGTCACAGGGCAAGATGCCAAACATCCCACCATTTACCTATCATTTCAGGACCATATGTGCAAAATTGCAGCAGGTAAAATTCAATAGAATTTTGTAGACTGTGATACACTGCATTATTTTCATCCTCTTGACATTTTAGTTTCTTGTGTTGAGACATGATTTAAGTACTGGGAAGGATAATAAGTTTGTTAAGTAGATCAGTTTGATTACATATTTTTCCAGTACATTGATTGTGAATTTTTGTTCATAATTTGGCCCAGAAGGAGACTCTCTAGGCCCTTTTAAGGCAATCTGGGAGCTGGCCTGAGAGTGGGGTCTGATCCTGAGGGTATCCAGGTTAGCATTGTAAGCAATTCACAAAGAACCACAGGAAACCAATCAGTGTTAAATGATCAGCCAGGAGCCAGTGCCAAGCCTCAGGGAGGGAACAGCTATTTTCTTTTTTTTTCTTTCTTCCAGTTTTATTGAGATATAATTGACATACAGCACAGTATAAGTTTAAGGTGTACAGCATAATGATTTGACTTATATACATCCATGAAATGATTACCATAATAAGTTTAGTGAACATCCATCATTTCATATAGATATAAAATTAAAGAAAAAGAAAAAAATATTTTTTCCTTGTGATGAGAACTCTTAGGATTTCCTCTCTTAACAACTTTCATACATAACATAAAGCAGTTAATTATATTAATGATGTTGTACGTTTCATCTCTAGCACTTACTTGTCTTATAATGAGAAGTTTGTACGTTTTTTTTTTGTTTTTTTTTGCGGTACGCGGGCCTCTCACTGCTGTGGCCTCTTCCATTGCAGAGCACAGGCTCCGGACGCGCAGGCTTAGCTGGGCTCACGGGCCCAGCCGCTCCGCGGCATGTGGGATCTTCCCGGACCAGGGCACGAACCCGTGTCCCCTGCACCGGCAGGCGGACTCTCAACCACTGCGCAACCAGGGAAGCCCTGCCCTATTCTTTTTTTATTGAAATATAGTTGATTTACAGTGTTGTGTTAATTTCTGCTGTACAGCAAAGTGATTCAGTTATACATATATACAAATTCTTTTTTTTAATATCCTTTTCCATTATGGTTTATCATAGAATATTGATTATAGTTTCCTGTGCTATACAGTAGGACCTTGTTGTTTATCCACTCTATATATAATAGCTTAATCTTACTTTTGCCATATTCTGTTCATTAGAAACAAGCCACTAGGTCCAGCCTGCACTCAAAAAGGGGAGAAGTACACAAGGACGTGCCTGCCTAGCAGGAGGTGGGGATCATTGGGGGCTATTTTGGAAGTCTGCCCACCCCACCACCCAGGTGATTCCAATATGTACCAGGGTTGAGAACCATTGCTCTAGAACAAGGCTGTAAAGAAGCCCACCCCTTATCTCAGCTTGATTAAAGAGTAGTGAATCTATAGTGATGAAAGTGATTATGAGGCTATATCTGGGCTCCATGGGAGTGGTGTGGTAGTTGAATAGTAACATCTGCCAAGGTCAAGGGATGTGGCAAATGTGGGCTATGCCATCCCTAGTCTACACTCTGCCAACCCAAATACAGACTTTGGGGGTAATCTAAAAACTCTCTCCAGTCTCCCCCCAGTCCTCCAACAACAATAATTTTTTTTTAACTTGTTTGCAACATCAATTGTTCTAAGCCCAGTTGTATTTCTTTCCTCCTAATACTGTATACAATAGCTAATACCTCTTGAGGACTTACTAAATGCAAGGCACATGTCTAAGTGCTTTATATTTATTACCCCATTAAACCTCACCGCAACCCTGGAGGTAAGTTACTATTAACATCTCCATCATTTCCAGTGAGGAAATTGAAGCAGAGAAAAGTTAAGTAACCTCCTGGGTCCCACAACTAGTAAATGGTGGAACTGAGAGTCAAACTTAACTGGTCTGCTCTTAAATCACTAATTTAATGTAAGAAAATCTTCAGTACCTACACATTTCCGTTTATGTTTGTCATGACATTGCCATTAATAATAGTGAAAAAATGGAAACAACATACCTGTCCAATAATAGGGAAATGGTGGCACAAATTATGGTACATCTCTAGGATGATCTATTATATTCATTAAAATGGATGCTTTTCAACAAATTTTAAAGATGTGAGAAAATGCACAAAATGATGTTAAAAGAAAAGGAATTGTATATATCATTTAACCTCAGTTATGAAAATATATTTGTATATGAATAGAAAAAAAGAAAATATAGCAGTATTTTTTGGTGGATTATGTAATTATGGATGATTTTAAAAGCGAACATAGTTTACGTACAATAGAATATTAAGTGTCCAGTTCAATAAATTTTGATAACTGTATACACTTGTATAAATGTCATCCAAAATGAGAGAACATTTCCATTATCTGAGAAGGTTCCTTCTCCAGTTAATCTCCCTTCTGCCCTTGCCCTCTTGTCAGTACTACGCCACCACCCTCCTCATTTTTATCACAGTGGGTTAGTTTTAATGACATGAGAAAAGCCTCTGCCCTCTCCTTCAGAGTCTCACAAAGTTGCAAACAAAATCAACTGGAGCAATTTGTCTATTTTTTAATTTCATATAAATGGAATCATATTCTTTTGTGTTTGGCTTCTTTCACTCAACAAAACGTTTTAGAGATTTGTCATTATGTTATGTGTTTGTTCCTTTTCATTGCTGAGTAGTATTCCATTGTATGAATATACCATGATTATTTATCCACTTTCTTATTGATGGACATTTGGGTATTTTCCAGATTTTGGCTCTTATGAATCAGTTTGCTATGATTATGTTTTGTCTTTATGTGATCATGGTTTTTCACTTCTCTTGGGTTTATACCAAAGAGTGCAATTGCTGGGTCATAGAGCAGATGTACATTGCACTTTATGAGAAAAGAAAAAGATAGTTTTCCAAGGCGGTTGCACCATTTTACATTTTACTTCCACCAGCAGCGTATGAATGTTCCATTGTTTGTACATCCTTGCCAACAACTGGTCAAGTCAAATTTTTATCCAGTCCTGTGGGGGCGAAATGATATTGTGTTTTATTTTGGAAGAAGAAAACCCTCTTTAACCTGGTTTCAAGGTTGTCTCATAGATAATTTCAAATACCATCCCAGGCTCTTCTGCTTACCCCCTCTATGTGTTCTGTGTCCTATTAGAGTTGGACTTTTCTTGTGCCCTAAACCATGCTTTCCTGCCTCTGTAGTGGTTGCAAGATTGAGGGCGAGAGGGTTAGAAATGTAGAGGGAGGGGAGAAAGAGGAAAACAGGGAAAGAGAGACAGAGCAGACATAAACAAAAGACAGAAAGAGGCAAAGTGGCAGAGAGATGGGATTAGACAAAGAGGAGAAAAATAAAGAGCAAAGGAAAGGAGGTAGGCACCAGATAAAGGAGGAGGAGGACAGTGGGACAGCAGGAAAAGTGATAAGGAAAGAGAGTAAGAAGAAGTGTGCATGAGGGGAGGGGACAAAAAAAGAAAGTGAAGCAAGACAAGGAAGGGAAGGGAGGATGGAGATGGGAGACAGAGGAAGGGAAGAGACAAAGGGAAAAAGAGAAGCAAAATCTTTCCCACACCACCCATCCAGTGGGCTGCCTTGGATTGGCCCAGCCCTGAAGGGAAGCTCATTTGCCAGCGAGACCTGTCTCTGCTCCTGGTGGGCTGATGCCCAGGAAGCAGCGCTGAGTTGTGCTGAGAGCATCCCTCATTAATATCAGAGGCCCCAGCCAGCTCTAATGGCCCCTGAACCTCGTGAGCCGCAGAGGGACCAGAGAGCTTACATGTTGGTTGGGCAGATGCCAGGCTGTGCTCACAGAGAGGATACTACCCTGGGCTAACCTGGGGTCTGATGCCAGGCCAGGGCCTTGAGACTTCTGAGTCATCTGGAAGGCAAACAGTAGTTCCTTTGGGGTGATGGAAACATGGTGAGTCCAGTTCCCTCTCCTGGGTCTGACTAGGGTGACAAGCAGCCCCCATGAGTATAGTTAACGGTCAGAGAGAAGCAACTCATGGCAACTGTGTCATTTGAGTCAGTCCTGTGGGTACATTTGGTCAGTTAACAGAAACTGAATCTTACCCAAATCTCACCTGTCCTCAAATAGCTCACAGTCTAGTCAGAAAGAGGTGACAGTCAACGAAATTATTAAGACTTAAATATGTCCTATAAGAGATAAATATGGTAGTAACTCCTTTCAAGTCTCAAAAGCTCAGTAAAGATTTATTTATTTAATGAATAAATGAATGTTCAACCCATGTATCCAGTAGCACCGAGGAAGAAGGGTTATTTTTTTTATTTTTTGTGGTATGCGGGCCTCTCACTGTTGTGGCCTCTCCCGTTGCGGGGCACAGGTTCCGGACGTGCAGGCTCAGAGGCCATGGTTCATGGGCCCAGCCGCTCCGCGGCATGTGGGATCCTCCCGGACCGGGGCACGAACCCGTGTCCCCTGCATCGGCAGGCAGATTCCCAACCACTGCGCCACCAGGGAAGCCCGGAAGAAGGGTTATTGATGAGCTAATCCTTTGCACAGGATTGGACACATGATGGATGCCCCAATTCAGCTTTATTAAATGAATGGCTGGTTCCATTTTACTGCAGGGGAAAATGCGATACTTCTCAGGAAAGTAGCACTCTAAACGGCTGTCACTCACTAGTACTTTAATATGTCCATTTTTGCTGATATTTACAAATCACATTAGCTCCCTTAAAACTCGTATCCATTCTGTGAGTTGAGCACGGCTGGAATCACCACCTGCATTTACAGATGAAGAAATCGAGGACCAGACAGGCTGGGTGTTGCCCGTTGAAGTCCTAAAGCCACATCTGGAGTGCAGGGCTCCTAATACCTCAGCCAGTTCTCTTTCTCCACTCCGTGTGGCCATCCTCATGTTCAGTTACAGCTAATGGAGGGGGAGGTCTGATGCCACTGGGGCTTTGGGGGGAAGGATTATGGTGGTAGAAGTGGGAACGCTGTGCTGGTACTAAGGGAGTGGCTCTACAGAAATGATTTCATGTAACTATCACAACAGCCTTATGAGATGGGAATTGTTATTTAATTAATTTATTTATGGCTGAGCACAGCACGTGGCTTGCAGGATCCTAGTTTCCCTACCAGGGATTGAACCTGGGCCACCACAGTGAAAGCGCTGAGTCCTAACCACTGGACCAGGGAATTCCGCAGTGCCCCACTCCCCCTTTTTTTTAGACTTAAGGAAATATAGGTTCAGAAATATCAAGTAACTTGTCCAAGGTCAGAGCTGGAATTCAAACTAGATCTGTTGTACTTTGAAGTTCACATTTTTTCCACTGCATCATGGTTACTCGAGGTGATTTTGGAAAGAGATGAGCAAAGTGATAACATCGAAGTTTCTGAGACTCTTCAGCAAATCACAGTTCCTCTGGCATGGGGTGGGAATCGAAGGGTGCAAATTGTGCGTCTCCAGGCCTCAGGGGCACTTTGGGATTTCCTCCCTGTGGGATGAACACACTGGATTTTATTTAGCTCCCCCGTTCCCCGCTCCAGCGATAGAAAGAGTAAACAGTCCTCATTAGCTGGGGTAGCTGGGCTTCCTTGCAAATTTAGGCACAAACTAACCAATCAAGTTTAAGTGGGACAGAGGAGGGGAAGGGTTTGAGGGGAAAGGAAATTACCCATAATTCTCTGAGGTAGATTACGTCACGCCTGCCACCAGCCTGGGGAATTTCAGTGCCTGTGAGGGTGGCTCAGCCTCTCCGCTCAACTTTCTCCCCTTCCCTCCATCTGCTTCAGTCCCCACCCCCAGGGCCCATCTCCAACTCTGCTGTTACCAAGAGCAACTCTACCTCAGACATCTTAAATGGCTTTCTTATCGTCTCCTTCCCAC